GAGTTCAAGGCCAGCCTGGGCTAAAAGCGAGATCCAGTCTCTAATTCTCCTGCCTTGGCTGCCATGCCCAGCCTCATTCAATCTTTTTTTAATTTTATTTATTTATATATATGTGTGTGTGTGTGTGTGTGGCCAGCTCAGCCCACCGGGGGGCGGGGCTGGCTGGCATGTGGTGCTGGGGGATTGAACCGCGGTCCCTGTGCTTTGGTAAGCTTGTTCTAAGTAGGTGCTTTAGACCACTGAGCCATCTCACCAGCCCCCAGCCTCATTTAATCTTGACAGCAGCCTTTTAGCATAGCTAATCCCATCAGGGTGGCCTTGGATGAGGGAACAGGCCGAATGCGCCGTGCAGGCTCAGCGGTCACGCTCGACCACGTCATTACTCCGGCACTCAAGGCCAGCTCCTGTCCTGGTCCAGCACCAGCCAGCAACTGGCTGGTGACGTGCAACCCACTAATATCACCTTCTAAGGTTCTAAAATTGTGTCTGCAGCAGGGCTGGGAATCTCAGCGCTGTGGAGGCTACAGCGGGAGGAGTTGAGGCCAGCCAGGACACCTGAGTGGGACACTGTCTCAAACTTAGAAGAGATTCAAAAGGGCTGGGGAGGTAGCTCTGTGGGAAGGTGTGGGCTTGATGCCCAGTGTTACAGAAATAATAATAATAAAATAAAGTTTAAAAAAGACAAATTTATGGTTTATTGTGTGAATAGATTTTTTTTGTTCTCTCTGTGCTTATTTTTTTGGGGGGAAGGTCCTTTTGAGACAGGGTCTCACTATGCAGCGCAGACTGGCCTTGTGCTTACTTTGTAGCCCAGACTGGTCTCAAACTCACAACAATCCTGCCTCAGCCTCCCCAGGGCTGGGATTACAGGCATGCACCACCACGCTCGGTTTCCGTGGCCCACATGGCAGGCCACAGGGCATGCGATACTGGGCATCGAACCCAGGTCCTTGTGCTTGCCAGGCAGGTGCTTAAACCACGGAGCTATGTCCCCAGGCTGGAGCAGTGCTGTTTAAACAATTGTATATGATGTAAAACCCTCCTAAATCAGCTCATTCATTGCTGGTGTGCGTGTGCGTGCCCGCGTGTACTCACACACGCTCACGGTGGACAGTACCTTTTCCTCCCTTTGGCTGCAGCAGGGCAGGCGAGACCATGTGACGTCCAGTGGTGCTCTGCAGAGGGGGGTGAAAGTTTCCTTCAAGGTAACAGAGGTCTGAAGCGCTGTTCTACACAAATAACAGTCCACAGTTAAACTTGGGCTGCTGCTGGTGCTGTCTTGTACAGAATTCAGCGCGGTAGAATGCTTTTGCTGGGAGCAGCAGTGCACACGCCTGCAGTCGCAGCTCTCTGGGAGGCTGAGGCAGGAGGATCGTGAGTCCCAGGGTACCTCAGCAAGTTAGTGACTTGGCTAGAGCCTGTCCCAGAACTTAAAACCAAACAGCAACAAAAAGCTTGGATGTAGCTCAGCTCTGAGGCCCTGGGTGAAGCCCCAGTACAGGAGGGGAAAAATAGAATAGTTTTTCTTTTCTCAGGCATGATGGGGAAGTATAAAAATATGTCAAGTAGTTTTGCAGATTTTGCTCATGATATTGTTATAATTACAGAAATATTGCTCAGGCTGAAAATAATCAGTGGTTGCTTATGTATTACTTTTAGGTCCAGCATGATTTCTTTCTTTCTTTCTTTTTTTTCTTTTTTTTTTGCATTTTAGGGAAGGGTCTACAGGGTCTCACTACTAGATCAGACTCATAGTGATTCGCCTGTTTACAGCCTTCCAAGAGCTGGGATTACAGGTGCACCTGCTTGCAGGCACTTTAATCCACTGAGCTGTTTGGCTGGTCCTAAAGGTTCTTTCTTTTTTTTTTTTTTTTTTGGTGGTATCAGGGATTGAACTCAGGACCTTAAGCTTGCCAGGCAAGCACTTATTCCATTGAGCTATCTCCCCAGGCTCCTAGTCCAGAATGATTTCAACATCATCTCCACATAAACAGAATAAAAAAAAAAATATGGATAAAAAAGGAGGCTCTGGGGCTGGTGAGATGGCTCAGTGGTCTAAAGCACCTACTTAGAACAAGCTTAGCAAAGCACAGGGACCACGGTTCAATCCCCCAGCACCACATGCCAGCCAGCCCGCCCCCGGTGGGCTGAGCTGGCCACACACACACACACACACACACACACACAAATAAATAAAATTAAAAAAAAAAAAAGGAGGCTCTGCAGAGCAGGGGTGGATGAGTGTTTCTCAGCACACCCAGCGGGGTGGCTCGTAGGTCCCCAAGGAACAGAATTTGAAAAGACACTCGTATCGAGCACGCCAACCTGGACACACACCAAGGAATCCTTTGCAAAATAAAGGAGCAGAACTGAAAACTCCCATCTTCTCTGGCTCCTTGGATGCAGCATTTCGGGGGAACGTGACTGCTCATTTCAATGTGTGAACTGCACATCTTCAAGGAGAAAAACCAACATGTGCACGCTGTTTCAAACCATAATAGCATTCAAAGTAAAAACTTGTAGGGACCAGCGAGACAGCTCAGTGGTCTAAAGCGCCTGCTTAGGCAAGCACGCAGGGACTGCGGTTTGATACCCAGCGTGGGTGGAGCCGGCCACAAAAAAATTATAGACAAAGTAAAACTAGTATCATGGAAAGTTCAACCTAGGACAAACATTTTTTTGTTGTTTTTGTAGTTTTTGAGACAGGATCTTACTATGCAGCCCAGGCTGCCCTCAAACACAAGATCCTCCTGCCTCAGCTTCCCAGTGCTGAGATTACAGGCATTCAATACCCTGCATAGCTCTTTTCCATTTTGATACAGGAATTGGAGACTCCTCTACTTTTGGCCCATCTGTGACTCCAGGCTTAACTGGCAGAAATCTATTAGCTCCCTGCCGTTTCCACATGCAGTGTGCAGAGTTGCAAGCAGAGGTTCAACTCACAGGAAAGCCCAGATGGCGTCTCTGCTGGCTTGGGGCAGAGCTGGTGTCCCTCGCTTCCCAGCCTCACCTGTGGCAGCCGTGACCAGCTCCTGTCAAGGTCAGGCCATGGGCAGGGCATGACCAGGCCCAAGATTCCTGACCAGCGCCCGAAGATCTCAAGAGCCGAGCCGGCCTCCACGGCCCCAATTGCTTAGTGTCACAAAAAACAAAGTCAACTTGTTTATGTTGCCTTCTTTTCAAAAAGGGTATGAAAGTCAAGTGTGGTGGCACACAACTGGAATCCCAGCACTCGGGAGGCTGAGGCAGGAGGATCACAGCAAGTCCAAAGCCAACCTGAGTTACCTAGTATAACCCTGACTCAAAAAAAAAAAAAAAAGAAAATTCACATTTAGATCCCACACTAGTACACTGCTTGGTAAGGTAACTTCAGAAAGAAAGCAATGTAAAAACACAGAAGGCGGAGACAGGAGGACTGCCACTTAGCAAGATCCCGTCTCCAAAATTAAAGAAAGCCCTAAAAAACAAAAGCAAAATGGGGCGGAGGAATATGATATTGTACTCTTGGAAAGATTGAAACGCAAAGAAAGCGTGGCGCAGGGATGGCACCCAGGCCAGTGTCCTGTGGCAGTCTTTCGGGCCCGTGGGCTTTTGTACATGCCCCCCGCTCATCCCACCCTCATCCCCAAGGGGAAAACCGGGGAAGTGGTACAGCGGACACCGAGCCATTCCCCTGGGACGGCGCCACAGTCCCGGCTGTGCCTGTTGTCCCTCCTGCCCCTCCCAGCTAGGCCTGAGGCTACTCACCAGGACCGTTCGCCAGCTGGAGAGGCAGCTGGGCTCCTCCATGGGCAGCCCCCCAGGGCTGGCTCTGAGCGGGGTCCAGTTGTTGAGCATGGCCAGGTAGCCCTTGTAACCTGCACGGAGGCCGAGGCGGGGAGAAGTGAGTGTGTGCGCACGCAGGACCTCGCTGTGCGCCAGGCTGGCCCAGGACCGCAGGCGGTTCTCCTGCAGCCTCCCGGCACACCACAGCACACACACACAGCACACGCGTGGACACCTGTGCACACAACGTGTACACCGAGCACACGCGCGCAGCGGCTGCAGGTGCCCGGTCACTAGACTTGCTATCCTCGACTCTGTGTAACCTCAGTAGGTGCCAGAACAGGAGCCCCCGAGTGGCTGCTCCCCAGCAGGTGGATAGACTCCCAGGGAATCAGGGCTTGAAAACCCTTTTTGAACACAGAGCTTCTCCTTTCAGTGAAGAGTTTGGGCCCTGACTTTGGGTCCTGTGATCAGGCTGTTAAGTGACTGGGTTGCTAAATGAGCGATTGCACAGAGGACATGGTGGGTGACTGACTCGACCCGCGCCGGGCATGTAGCGCACGCCAGTGATTCCCTGTACTCGGGAGGCTGAGGCAGGGGGGTCGCGGCAAAAATTCAAGGCCAGCCTGGGCTACCAAGTGAGCTCATCCCTGGCCTGGACTGCATAGTGAGACCCCATCTCAAAAAGACAAAAAAAAAAAAAAAAAAAAAAAAGAACCAAACAGGTCATAAATCCAGGCAGAATGTCTGGTGTGTCGTAAGGTAGGTGGGTACAAGGGGAGTTATGTAGCGAACATGGACTGTGCTAGGCAAATATACACACACCAGCCTCACTGTAGCTCACTCCAGGGTTTTACGGCACTGCGGGCTGAATCCAGGGCTTCCCCCTGAGCACAACTAGCCCTTGCTTCGTCTCCTACTTGAGACAAGGCCTGAGTGTCAGGCAGGCCCCGAGCTTATGCTGCTCCTGCCTGAGCTCCTCAGTTACCACTGGAATCACACATGCGCACACCATGGCCAACTTCTTTGCCTTCTTTTTTAAACTTGGGTATTGGGAATCAACTCAGGGCCTTGGGTTTGCCAGGCAGGTGCCTATGCCACTAAGCTACATTCCCCAGCCCCTTTTTGTCTGTGAAGCAAGGCCTCTATTTGTTGCCCAGGCTATCCTCAAGCTCTGTGTAGTACAGGCTGGGCTCAAACTTGGGACCCGCCTGTCTCAGCCTCCTGAGTGCTGGGATTACGGGCATATCAACAAAACCCTTTTCATCCTTGGGCCTGTGAGATAGCTCAGTGGATAGACACTTGCTTAGGTAAGGGCAGGGACCGGGGCTCGATCCCCGACACCACATGCCACGCAGGCCCCGCCCCTGGGTGCCCTGAGCCGGCCACTGAGACAAGGTGTGGCAGCACATACCTGCAATCCCAGCGCTGAGGGGCTGAAAACAGGAGGATCACTAGGAGTCGGACCTGTGTACTGAGACCCTCCACCAAACACGTAAGTAAATAGTAAGCTTTTATCTATATTCCCTGAATTTTTGTGTAGGAGCCTTTTGAATTGTTTTTCTCTTTTCCAGTGCCTTGGATTTAATCTGAGGCTTCTTCAGTGAGCAGGATCCCCACTCCTTTTTGAAACAGACTTTTACTAAATTGTCTAGCTGACCAATCCTCCTGCTGTGGCCTCCGGAGGCCGGACTACACGGCATTTGCTCCCTGATGTGTCACTACCCTTCTGGGTAGGGCCAAACAGCTGAAGAGGGTCAAAGTCTTCCTCATACCTGAGGTAGCCCGGTGATCTGCTGTTGAGTGCTGCCGCAGAACCTCGAAAGCATCCTCAAATGCTTGACCCAGCCTGTCTTGTTCAACACAAGTCTGTGGGAACAATGCCAGAATGCCGTTATATTTTACTTTTTTTTTTTTGGTGCTGGGAATCAAACTCAGGACCAGGCACTGTACCAGGCTCTGTACTACTGAGCTATACCCATAGCCATGAATGAAGTTATAAAATTACCAGTGAAATTTAATTTTTCTGAGAGAAAGTAGTATTGGGACTGGGGTTAGTGGCTTATGCCAGTAATCTCAACCCACAGGAGGCTGAGGCAGGAGGATTGCCACAAGTTCCAGACCAGCCTGTGCTATATAGCAAGATCCTGTCCCAAAAACACTAAAAATTTGAGCCAGGAATTGTAGATCAAGGAAAGCCAATTTAGAAAAAGAGATCAGGGCCAGGGAGACGGCTCGGTGGAACAAGTGCTTCCCTGGCAAGTGAAGGGGTCTCAGTTCAATCCCCAGTTCCACCAAAAAAAAAAAAAAAAAAAGTACTAGTAGAAAAAGAGGTCAAACAATAAAATTAAAAGAAAGAAAAAGAGGGGCTGGAGAGGTAGCATGGCAGTCTAAGCAAGTGCCTGGCAAGCACAAGGACCCAAGTTCGAGCCCTGGTACAGCATGATGTGCCAGACCTGAATCTGGGTGTGATGGCGCATGTCTGTAATCCCAGCGCCAGTGAGGCTGAGACAAGAGGATCACTATGAGTCCGAGCTGCGCAGCGAGACCCTGTACCAAATACCTAAATAAAGAATTTTTAAAAAAATTTAAAAGAAAAATGACAGCCCCACCCCTGGGGCGTGCTGAGACATCAATTAAGACTGGGTGTGGTGGCGCGCACCTGTAATCCCAGAGTTCGGGAGGCTCAGAACAGGAGAATCACTCACTACAAGTCTGATCTGTGTAGTGAGACCCTGTAGGCCCTGTGACAAATACACAAAAAATAAATAAATGAAAGATAAAAGGTCAAGACCAGATCTTTTTTTTTTTTTTTTTTTTTAAAAAGGACATATATTTAATGGAACAGAATTTGTCAATCACTTAAACAAATGAAATGATTTTAATTTCAAAAGTATGTCTCAGGGGCTGCGGAGATGGCTCAGTGGAATAAGTGCTTCCCTGGCAAGGGCAAGGGCCTGAGTTCAATCCCCGGCTCCGCCAAAAAAAAAAAAAAGTATGTCTCAGAAACTCAAAATTGAACTACCGTATTTTGCAGACCATTTAGGATAGTTATTAATTTGATCCAAACACTGTAAAATATAAGGGGTGCAAAGATTTTAAAATATCAACTTACCATGCTTCATGAACAAACTGGAGAGCCTGAAAAAGTTAAACATTTAAAAGACAAAGTTAAATCCAGGTCCAGTGTGATTTTGAATGAAAAGCTGGCGTTTCAAATGCCGGGCCATTTCTATGACATCGCAGAAGCCCAGAATGCAGTGTGAACTCTCTGAGCTCCCTGCTACCTTTGCGTTCTGCGGCATTTCCTGCGACCCGTCCGTCCTCTTTGCTGTCTCCCCTCCCAGCTGCTTGACTGGTGCCTGCCCCAGACCCAACATTATGGGATCTTTGTGTTATTGCCAGAGCTGACCTCAAACCCAGAGCCTCCTGCACTAGGAGGGCTGTCCTTGCGTTAAAAGCAGTAAACGGGGTGGCGCACCCTGGTGATCCGAGCACTCAGGAGGCTGAGGCAGGAGGATCGCTACACGTTCGAGCCCAAGCCTGGGCTACAAAGTGAGCTCAAGGCCAGCCTGAACTGCATGGTGAGATCTGTCTCAAAAAGACAAGAGAGAGAGAGAGAGAGAGAGAGAGAGAGAGAGAGAGAGAGAGAGAGAGAGATACCGACTGTCTGGGTAACTGCAAGGGGGTACAGAACCCATATTACTTCAAGGCCCATTTAACCATTTGGGTATTTAAAACTTCTGAAGACCAAAATCCAAAGCTTTGCTGCCTTCTGAGAAGCTGATAAAAAGGGCTTGTTCTCTTCCCGTGAAATCCAGATTCACAATACAAGTAAAATTCAGCCCAAGAGGGGGCCTGGCCCTAGCTGGGGGCCTGGCCCTAGCTCCGTTCTTTAAGTGGCTGCTTCCACAATGCTGGCAGCCTCAGGTTGCTGGAGTTCGATCCCCACAACACTTCAGCCAGCCAAAAGTGCCCTGAAGGCATTCGAGGAAAAAAAAAAAAAAAAAAAAAAAAAAAATTCAGCCCAAGAAGCCAGTATAGGTCCTCCCTTAAGTTTCTACATTAACTCTTAGTTCTCAAATTAAAACCTCTGCCTAGGCGCCCTGTGATAGGCACACCTGTAATCCCAGCGCTCTGGGAGGCTGAGGCAGGAGGATCACAACTTCGAGCTCAGCGTGACCAGTGAACTGGTGATCCCATCTCAAAACAAAAAATAAACCAGGACCAGCAGCTCAGGGCTGAGGTCCCGGGTCCAACCTCCAGTACCGCAAAAACGAAACAAAGAACTTTAGCCCTTACGTTCGCACTCTGTTTTCATCACATGCCTTTAGATTTTGCCTCAAATAAGTAACACGTAGACAAATGTCTAAGATTTCTTTCAATACTGTTTTCTGCAATGACAGCAGATCACAGGAGGAGAAAGACTCAACTACTTATTTCATTTAACAGATCTGAGACTATTTACACAGCCTCTAGCTTTTGTCTTGCACAAATCAACAGCTGAGCTTTTAGTGTTTCATAGTACGCTCCGTGATGCACTGTCGCCTGAGCCCAACTTCCTCCACATCCAAGCTCAGAACTGTGAGCGACTCTTTGAGCATTAGCTTTTTTTTTCCTCCCAGAACTGGAGATTGAACTCAGGACCTTGTGCCGGCCGGGCAGACACCTATGCCGCTGAGCTATCTCCCCAGCCCTGCGAGCGACTCTGAAATCACTTCGTCCTCTCAGTTCAAGGAGAAATCTGAGCGTTTCTCTCGTAACACATCGCTTAGCACCTCTGCATGGCCACACACTGCTCCCCCAAGAGGGGTTTTAGAAGCCACGATGCTGTCACACCGGCACCCCAGCTGCTGGGGCTCCAGACCTTTTGTGAATGAACGCCGCAAGGAGCCTGTCTTTAATGAGTACATCCCGATGCTCTCCTCTTACAAGTTGTCGCCTAGGAAAGAAAAGCATCTGCTGAACACTACTTCTCCCTTCGGTGGCAGTGACGGCAGGGTGTTCCGCTTACCAGGAAAACACGGAGCCCCTTCCCCAGATGTCTCATTAAACCAGAAGATCTGGCTGCAGCGAGGAGCGTCCTGGCCAAGCCTGGGCAGCGGGCGCTAAATAGCTGTTTTTGAGGAAGTGCCGCAGAAGGGGAATTTTTTTAAAAGCTACAGCGCCTTCAGAAAAGTGTCTGCCTGCAGCGGCTGGAGACAGCAGGGCTGCTATTCTGAAGAGGCGACAAGAACAGCGTGTCTCTTTGGGGACCAAGCACCTGAGGGCCTGTCTGGCCCAGGTCCTCTTGGTGGCCTTGTTTTAGCTTTTTGTTTCCGTGCACTCTGGGCCACCTCTCCCGGCTCTGGCCCGCTCTGTCTTCCAGTCCCCCAGGCTGGCCTGTGTCCTAGGTGTCGGCCAGAACCCAGGGCCCCACACACCCAGCAAGCGCCTGCCACTGCTGGTCACAGCATCAGCCCTTTTCCCTTTGGAGGCAGGGTCTCCCTGAGTTAAGGCTGGCCTGAAACTCACCCCCCTCCCACCCTAGCCTCCCCAGGGGCATGCAGTTGGCCCTCGTGGCATGGCAGAAGGCCACCGCCCAGGGATGCCTTCCTCGGAGATCTGAAAGGCTCTAGGCTACTCAGCACTGTCATTCAAGCCTTCGGGAGGCTTGCTTCGGCCTCCCGTGAAGAGGAGCTGGAGAGCTGTGGCGGCTCACAGCTGTAAGGTAGTCGCTGGGAGACTGAGGCAGGAGGAGCGCACAGAGTTGAGGCCAGCCTGAGGTACACAGTGAGATCCCAGCCCCTCTGGGCTCCTCACTCCTTCACACTGTGGCCTTGCTCTCTGGCTCCGCCTGAGCGTGTTGAGGAGGATTTGGTGGCCCTGCGAGACCCTGTAGGACCCCTGCCCTCCCCCAGGTACCTGTCTATCAGAGCTTGGCTTCACTGTCACCCGCTGCCACCTTGGGAATCACCTTCCTCTGGGGCCGCCCCTGCGCACAGCCATTAAATCGGCCTGCATTTGGCCAGAGGCAAAGGCCTGAGGGGTTGTGGTGACACCGGGTGGAGGAGGAGGGATGTGGCAGGGACCTCCCAGCCGGGTGGCTGTCTTCGCCCTAGGCGCCTGGGTACTCCTGGTCAGACCATCGTTCTGGGCGATCTTGGAGACTTTGTTGTGTAAATGAAGCTATCCCACGCCTTGGAAATGCAGATTTCTAATAACAGGCCCAGAGCTGGTCTAGGCAGTCTTTTGCTTTGCATCGGTACCAAACAGCGTCTACAGCTTTTTGAGACAACTTTCTTTTCTTCTTTCTTTCTTTCTTTCTTTCTTTCTTTCTTTCTTTCTTTCTTTCTTTCTTTCTTCTTTCTTCCTTCCTTCCTTCCTTCCTTCCTTCCTTCCTTCCTTCCTCCCTTCTGTCTTTCTTTCTCCTTCTTTCCTTTTTTTTCTTCCTTCCTTCCTTTCTTCTTTCTTTCTCCTTCATTCCTTTCTTTCTTCTTCCTTCCTTCCTTCCTTCCTTCCTTCCTTCCTTCCTTCCTTCCTTCCTTCCTGTCTTTCTGTCTTTCTTTCTTCCTTTCTGAGACAGTCTTGACACATAGCACTGGCTGGCTTTGAACTTATAACAACCCTCCTGCCTCAGCCTCCAAGTGCTGGGACGACAGACACATGCCATCCTGCCAGGTTCCTAAGGCCCCTTACTGTGCTCGGTTCATTTATTCAGTGGACACATTGCATATCTTTCTGAGAGCTCCCAGGCACCTTCCTGTGTCCAGGAGCTGCCGCCCGGAACATGTTCTAGCGAGAAGAAAACACTTGTAGAAAATGAGCACAGCCGGGCATCGCGGAGGACGTGAGGCAGAGACAGGAGGGTCACTGACAGCACCATGACAGGGCTGCACCACCATGCCCAGCTCGTAGGCCCCAGGACCCGCCTGCCTCGGCCTTCTGGAGTGCTGCGTGCATGGCCACTGTGCCTGGCTTCAAACAAGGAATTCAGTGCACCTGCACTTCGCTGCGTGGTGTCACCGCAGCTCTATCCTACAAGGTTGTGCTTTTATTTCCCCTGTGAGGTATTAAGTGGGAAAGTGGCCTTTGCCCGTGCTCCCGCCCTGGGGAGGCTGAAGCTGGGCGTCCATGCGAGCGCCGCACAGTGAGCTCCAGGCCAGCCTGGACTGCGGCGAGGCCCTGTCTGCGACCACAGCGACAACCCCCTAGAAGTGTGGAAGCGTGGGGGCGCCAGCTGCTGCCAGACCTCCCGGAGGCGGAGACAGATGTGCGTGTGCGTTGTACCGATTCTCGCGCCCGGAGGTGGCTCAGTAGAATAAGCGCTTCCCTGGCAAGCGCAAGGGCCAGAGTTCAATCCCTGGTTCTGCCAAAAACAAAAAACAAAACAAAATAAAACAACACGATTCTTTGTGTTGGCCAAATAGCTCAGCGGATTAAAGTGCCTGCTTAGCTAGTCGCAGTGGCCAGAGTTCGATCCCCGATCCCCAGTGTCATGCCGGCCCTGGCCATGGGGCACCCTGACACTGGGAGTGGTGGCACCCACCTGTAACCCCAGCTCTCGGGAGGCTGAACACAGGCAGATCACTATGAGTCCGTAGGCCCTTGTAGACTTTTACTAAAATACAAAAATAAATAAATAAATAAATAAAAACTGATTTTTTGGAAAGTCTTAAGGGACAGGTGTCTGGTATCCAAGTTAGGTGGCCACCGGCTTCAGGTGAGGACTGTGCCTCTCAGAACCAGGAACAGGAGGGCCTGAGGACTGGGCCCGAGCCAAGCTCTTTCTAAATCTCTTGGGTAGTTTTCTTTACAGTGGTACTTGGGACTGAGCCCAGGGCCCAAGTTACATCCCTGGCCCTTTTCATTTGGAGACAGGGTCTCACTGAGTTGTCCAGATTGGCTTCAAACGCGGTGATCCTCCTGACTCAGCCTCCCAAGTAGCTGGGGTTACCAGGCACCCAGGAAGAAGAGATCTTAATCCTGGTGAGACACCAGGGAATCTAGTGAGTGCCTAGGGGGTGGGCAGGCAGGGATGGAGGAAAAAGCTCACGGCGACTCCTCTTGGAAGGGGCTGCAGGGAGTTTGGGTCTGAGAAGTTCTGAGGTTGCCACCTTCACCTTACTCACGATGGAGACCTCATCACAGATCATTCTAGAAGTGACACGTGTCCAGACTCCGCTCGGGCCTTGAATGGATCTTGGATCTCTGCTCAGCGTCCTGTCTGCTGAATCTCAGCCAGGTCTGGGTGGTTGTTACCTTTTTTTTTTTTTTTTTTCCTTTGGTTTTTTGAGACCTAGTCCTTCTATGCAAAGCAAGCTGGCTTTGAACTCTTGAAATTCTCTTACCTCTCAGCCTGCCAGGTGCTGGGATTACAGGAATTCACCAGCACCCTTGGCTCACCTTCCATATTCTCATGGGATTTTAATCCTGTGTTTGTGTCTACATGGTCTACCAGTTGCTAAAAGTGGAATCTCACCAGGTGTGGTGACACACGCCTGTGATCCCAGAGCTTGGGAGGCTGAGGCAGGATGATCGCTGTGAGTTTGAGGCCAGCCCAAGACTCCTTCTCAAAAAACCCAAAATAGAGCCGGTGAGGTAGCTCAGCAGTCGAAAGTGCCTGCTTAGGCAAGCTTAGGCAAGGCCAGGGGACTGTGGCTTGATCCCCAGCACCATATGTTGCACCAGCCCTGCCCAGGCTGAGCCAGCCGTAAAAAAAACCAAACCAAAACAACAACAATAAATAAATAAATAAGCAAATAGTGGCATACACACCTGTAGCCCCAGCATTCTGGGAAGATGAGGCAGGAAGATCTCATGTTCAAGCATAACCTGGGAAACTCCATGAGACCTTGTCTCAAACATTGATTTTATTTACTTATTTATTTATTTATTTATTTATTCCTGTACAGGGAATTGAACTCAGGACCTTGTGCTCTCCAGGCAGGCACTTATGCCTCTGAGCTATCTCCTCGGCCCTACTTATTTTGACTTTGATGGTGGTGTGTTTGCAGCATGAAATGATCCCATTTATACTGCAGGGCTGGAACGTGCCGTCACACATCTCGAACCTCCTCGCCCTTCCCTCTTCTCTCCCTACAGCCCTCTCCTGGTTCCCTTCCATGTGTAGGAGAACTGTCTCCCTGTTTCCTGTGATCTGTTTTCTATGTTGCCGTTTAACTTATTTGCATGCTGGTTTTCTCTATAAGAGAAAGCATGCAGCACTTAACCTTGGGTGTCTGATTTATTCCACTTTATACTTTGGTCTCAAGGGGCCTCCGTTTCCCCACCAATGAGTCTAGTTCATCCTCCTAGAAGGCACAGTAGCCCTGCGTTGTGTCTGTACCACACGTTTTCTATCCGCTCATCCGCTGAGGATGCACAGCTGCGTCTGAGACCTTGCTGGGAGCTGTGTGCTGCTGTGACATGGTGACATGGTGTACATGAGCCCGGAGACATGGTGTCTTTCCCTTTTTCCAGGAAGATTCCTAGAAGGTGAATAGTTGGGTCAAATGGGATTTCTAGTTTTGTTTTGTGTTTTTGAGGAGTCCCCACACTGATTTCCAAGTGGCTGTTTATACTCCCACCAACACTGCAGAAGGATTTCTTTTGCCCCGTAGCCTCACCAGCACTTGTTATTATTTGATTTTGTTTTGTTTGTTTGTTTGCCTGTTTTTCCGAGACAGGGTCAGCATGGTTCTTTGAAATTTTTTTTTTTTCCTTTTCTTTTTCTTT